TCTCTGATACGTTCTTCATATAAAGACATCGTTTCACACCATTATACGATAAATATTCTCTTACAGTTAAGATATAACAAGTGTATAGAAAAAGAAATTTTGAATTTCTTTTTGGCTTAAATACGTATATACAAAATTTAATATATTATTCATCGCCTATACAAGTTTGTACTGTTACTCGACTTTTGAACACAAATCACAACATTCCATTTCACGATTACCCTATACACGATTACCCAGGCGATCATGATTGCATACAATGTGCTTGAAGTTACTCTAATACCATCCAATGTGGTTACGTTAAGTAACCGCGAGATTGGCTCATAATGGTGGTCATATCTGGTCGTAGAATACCCGAACTTATAGAGATTATATATCTGAAATCGATTTCGTGGCTTTTGCAACCGTTGTTGGTACTTGGCCTCGCCAACTCCAAACGCGACCCGACGAAAATGTAATGTAAAACTTTAAGGGTACATAAATCGTTGATATCTGCCGGGAACCGTTTCGCGTTAGAAAAATGCTAGCGCTCTAGCGTCGCTTCCAATGCGCTGGAAATGACTCGAGAAGTTGAGCAATGGAGTATTACGGAAATCTAGGTTAAGAAGTTTAAAAATTTGAGGCCGCTCCATCGACTGTACCAATATACAGTCCACTATTTCTCTAAGAGGATCGCACGATCTCAGCTTACGACATAATATTTTCACAGATTTTTCCTACGAAATTGTTGATATCACATTTAGTCACACTTTGTTGCTCGTTATTTGAAGTTCATCGCTTGCGACTCAATTTGTCAACTCCCTATAGAACAGTACAACGTATAACGATTACTACTTGCTACTGATTGCCCCTGCAGGTATCTGCGTGCCTCTGCTGCTCTTTGCTGGCCTTTGCTGATCACTGCTGATCACTCGTATAACGATTACTAGTGGCCAGTAGCAGTGGTCAGCAGAGGCCAGCAGAAGCAAGCAGTAGCAAGTGGTAATCTTTTTACGTTGTCTGAAGTATTAGCAAGCAGACTAGCACACGCAGGCAGAGATCAGCAGAGGCTGGCAGCAGTCAACAGTAATCGTTATTGTACGTTGTCAGAAGTATCAAGAGTGGTCATCAGTGGTCAGCAGATACCTATAGGAAAATCGAGTAAAAGAGCATGTGTCAGTTTGCCTTTGTCGACTCTCCGAAACTCTACTAGCTCACGTACGCGTGATCTGGCATAGTGTGAGAAAGTGGAATGAGGTGTCCCCGGTGCACCCGGGCCTCCGTCTGGCATTTCTGGTTGGGATTAGGCGATCCCCCTCAGCCTCAGCGTCGAAAAGTTTCTGGATATTCGGCAACTTACGATCTCCAAACAGTACTTGTTGGATAAACAGAGTCCATCCACGCTGTTTCCTCGAGTTTCGAACGTTCCTTTTTTTTTTTTTTTTTTTCGAAAACTTTACCGACGAGTTCGCTGCCTCGACCAAAATACCAACGGCGTTACGTAAACGTTTGATTCGATCGTATCGTACAATCCAGCTAGCCAGGTGTATCGAAATCAAAGAAATAAACGTTTGCTCGATTTTCAAGCAACATTGGGACCTTTCGCGCGTCCCTATGGTCTCTCGATAATGCGCTGGCACTTCGAGAATCACGTTACCCGAGAAATCGTCGAGATTAACAAAGGCGCATGGCTCCGTTGGAACGCCAGGCTAAATCGTAACCAATGAAATTTCACTCGAAATCTACGCCAGCGTCCCTCGTGTGCTCATTACAGGCTTTTGTAGTGCTACAAAGGATTCCACCTTCTTACGTAACGCTGTCCTTTGCCAGTCTCCAGGGCTCGTCCTGTCCTACGGCAACCCTTCAAACTCCCCGTCATTGTCTCGTCGAACGCTTTGATGTCGAATTAATGCAAAGCCAAATTACGATCCGTGCCTCGCGAGCTGGTAATCGACCCGGATACAAAGAATTGATTTTCGTCGGGCGGGTTTCAAGCGCGTCGGTTTCCGGATGAAAATCGTCTTTTGAATAGTGTAAGTCACGTTCCGGATTGAAAACCCGCGACCGAAGCTGTAAACTGATCTTGCTTTCGATTGTACGCGGTATTTTCGTTCCAGGTTTCGTTCGAGAACCGTTTTAAAAGCTCGGAAGACGAACGACAAATTCGTGAGGCAGCTTTTTCGAAATGTTTGAACAGCGTCGAATATATTGTGAGGATATCCGAACCGTTTAAAATCAATACAGGAAATATTATCGATCGCGAGACCCCAGTTTCCATAGTATGGATATTTTGTAAAAAAAATATTCCGATTCAGAGACTACCGTTTATTTGAGCGGAGACGAGAATGCCTCGGGGGAATATTATTTTCCGCGACACGCATCCCAGTTACGACGTTAGAAATTTTTGTAACTGCACTTCTCTGTTAGCCCGACGAGCCACGGGATCGGATTTCAACTCTTCAGAAGTTTTAATGGGTGATCGTGTAAACATGATCTCAAAATCAAATACTCGAACTCGGTTGTAATTACTGGAGTATACTTTGCCGAATAAACTTAGTTACGTCGCCGGTGAACACCGACGAGCCTCACCCGTGACTGTGGAAATTTTATACGGGAAATTAGTTTCCCGGCTGGTCTCGTCTCAAAGAAATTCATCTTCCCGCCGCCATCGAAGATGATTCGACGAAACTTTTTGCCCGCGCCGCATTAGTCATCCTAACCAATGTCGCCGCCACAATGAGTCCTGATTTATGATGCGAAATGCTATTTCCGGGATCTTTGTCTTATTACTCTCGTTGGAAAAACCACGGTTCCTACAATAGGGACAGATACTCCGTAAGATCGCCAGTTTCTTTCTATAGTGTGGCGTCGCCTCCCATGCTCGCCACCAGAGGGGTCGCGTTCTCACAAGCACTCGACCGACCCCTCGGTTGCTATACATATATATACACTCCTCGAACGACTTCCCAAATCTAACGAGGTTTTTGAACTTTCTTTTATTTAATCGTAAACATTCTCCCCCTCTGAATGTAACTGGATTTAATTTCGCTTTGTATGGTTTTTTTGGTGCCATTTTTCTATACAAAATATTAAATCTTGCCCCTAGTATAAGGAACTATTCTTAAAATTATCCTGAAAGTAGCATTAAGTGCGACGGACATTATTTAATGTTAAGATTACGCGAGCTCTATGTTGAGCCATTAGTCTAAATCGTAGTCCTAGTTATAAGTTAGCCGTTTGTACGTTTAGGTTTATTGTACCCCTTTGTATATATATTTATAACTGTTTTCTTGGCACAATAAACGTTCGTTAGGTTTTTAAAAGTTTTTGAAACGCGGCCCCCTCCTTTCCTTTTCACGCCTCCTACGATTTTTACGAGATCCTATCCGCAGCGAAGCAGCGCCACAATAGCGTTGCATTTTTAATACTGCACGAGAACCGTAAGAGAAAAATACGGAGACACTTTCATCGTGGACGCTCGTGTCTTCCACGTAGGATATAAATCCGATTACGATTGGACTCTGTAGATTCTACATTCGCAACCGCGAAATAACTTCGATCGTTTCTCGATACTCTGTTACTCATCGAGTGAATTGAAACAAAAAAACTGACAAAGAGTGACGTAGATGATATAAAAAGCTTGATTTTCTTAGTGTAAATATTGCAACAGAGATTGTTTGTAAACGCTTGATTCAAGCTTCGTTGTATTTACTGGTAATTAAAACTTCGAAAATTAGTTTCAGCTGCAACGATTAAGAAAACTTCACTTTAGAATTCATAAATTATTCGCGAACAGCATCATGGATTTTGTTAATTTCCTGCGTAAGATTATTAATTTTTAGTTTACAGAAGAAGTACTTTGAAGTGTACGAGACAAAAGGGCTCGTTGGGCCGAGCACGCGCGGGAGAATTTTCAATTTGCAGGGGGAATCGCGCGAATTGACCGAGCCAACTATTTCATACGTCTTGGTTACTATGAACTGTGGGAACGGACCGTGAATAATCCCGACGATCTAATCTTTCGCCAGAAGGCGGTCGCAAAAAATTCTCATAAAACACGGTTACGTGAATTACGATCGTCGAATCTTCTCTCCGCTTTGCTATATGTATACCTAATTTTCGTGCATAAATTTGTCCGAAAAAATAGCTCACACGTGTTGCAATAAAAGAACCCAACCGGGAGATTTATCGTTGCTTCCGCGTTTGCATTCCTCCCGTGAAAAACTGCCCTTTTATTTACAAATTTATTTTTTCTGAACGATACGAAATTAAAGGTGAAAACGTTTTACTTGTAAAACAGGTTTATTACGTCCAGAAACCGCGTTCTAAATAAATTCTGTTTAAAAAAAAAACGACCGAAACGAGTTTGTCGTAACTCGAATCGATCCTAATAATTGTCAGAGATTCGTGTGCCGATAAACATTATACGTACAGGCGCACCGAGGGCCAGTGCACTTTGTTCAGTGTCATTGTGAAGAGTTCGATGTTACCCAAGTGCACTTCCGATGTATCCCCTGCAGTTTGCTACAGACAGGTGACGATCCATTGTGCTGGTAAAATATTGACACTCGATATTTTCCTGCACTCAGCACGGAGGGAAAAACGTTTACACGTAAGCCCATCTCCATGATGGAGGTCCGTGCTTTTTGCCCGGGTCTCCGCTGTTGCTTTCATCGATATTAATTTTCCCTGTTATCCCTTTAGGCGTGAATGCACAGCTAGCAGTTATTTTAGTTTCCATACGCGGTACATCCTACTGATTATCACCGGTTTGACGCTTTTAAGCTGTCCAGGCTCCAGAATTTATCGACACGAATTTTCTTATTTGCAAGGCTCGTGCCTTGCTGAAACACCACCATAGTTTACTTCGATCAAGATTATACATTTTGTTGCAAAATAATAGAAACGATTAACTCCCTCGAAAGAAAGGTTGAAGAAATTACAAATAACATAGTTTCGAATCTTTGGCTGTTGAAAATAGCGTGCAACGTGGATTTTAATTGCTTTGTTGCTTCCCTTACCGTCTTGTTCCCCAAGTTCTTGACGCGACAGTTCAAGTACGTAGTCTTCCCCAGAAGGGCGGTCACGTTCTTCGAGGCGGACACGTCGAAGTACGGTCCGGTCCGTGGACTGCTTCCGTCCAGGCTATTCTTATGAGCGTTGCCATTTTTCCCGCTGCTTCCATGCAACGTGCTGTAGCAGTGAGCACCTGGAAACGAACAAAACGACTACGATGAAATTTCCTACGTGGCAAAAGAGTCTCTAGAATTCCTTGGAATGCAACGATTAAAAGCAGAAATTGATTCAGCGTCTTCTATTTTACAGGAATCGTGAATTTCTCTGTTACCAGCGATTGTGCACGATTCGATAAAAAAAGCTGAAGGAAGCGTTCAGACAACGAAAACATTCGGATTATGATACGGACGATCGAACCGAGCTTTTCTTGAGAACTATTAATTAAAGGATTAATGTCGTAGAAGTTACTTCGGTGTCTCGAACTTTCTAACTTCCAAAGTCCGATTTGTCCCCGATAACGATTGACATATTACTAATTGGTTCGGGTAAATTTTCTTATTCCCCGAAACGATTCTTACTAAATCTTTTTTTAAATTCTAATTACTCTGGTTCGCGAACGGGGGGTAGTTATGTTCCCAACAGCAGGATAGACAAAGCGTGGTTGTAACATGTACTCAAGAATGCACTTTTTACAGCGGTTCGCGTATTCGATTAAAACGTCAGTCAAACGGAGCAGCTGGCAATTCAGGTGATAAATGTTCGTGTTTTTTTTTTTTATCTGTACAGAGCAGATCGCGGTTGCGAAGCGAACTTCCCTGGCGAATCTGTTCAACCGACGGCGTACACAGGGAACGGACAAAGCCCTTCGGTCGCGACAATCGGCTGGCATCGTCTATTGTTCCATAGACGTAGAACGTCGCGACGCGCACACTCGATTCGACTGGGCTCGTTTATCGAACGAGTTCGCTGATGAATTTCTTAATGCTCGCCGATAGGAAGATAAATTGCATTGATAACGCGCGCGACTGTTGCGCGTTCGGATCGCGAACACGCTGCTAAGTTTCGAAGTTTGATCGACGATACGCTGTCGCTTGCATTGTAATCGTTGGATCGTTTTGTAGTCTGTCAACGCCTCGAACGTTCAGGTTCGAACTTATGGCAGCGTTGGGAACGGTCGAGTATGAATCGGGACTTTTCGTTTGCAACAAGTTTCAAAAATCGCGTGCTACGATCCCAATGAAATGTACATCGAAACGCGACTCTGTTTCGTTGTTTTTAGAATTAACGAATTGCAAATAGTGTGTCGAACGATAATGGCAATTTCTGGTCCTGCACGATTCTTTATTCTCCCAACGACAAGTTGCTGGTTAGAACGTTCTATAATTGTTCTCGAGCCCGCCCACGATACCGCTTCAACCGTTTCCACTTTTGGCGAGTTGCAGAACAAACTTCCGTAATGAACTTTAAAGCTGTATACCAAACTTCGATGGAAGAAGGAGAAACGGTGATTTCGCAGCTGTCCTGAACAATTACCTAACGCGTCAGTTTAATATACAGTCTCGAGTCTCTTCTCAATATCTTCTACAGGATATTGAAAGCTCGTCGATTACAGGAAAAGGTTTGCTTGGATCGTGATGAATTGTTAAAATGATAAAATAAATCTTGGAGATTGTTAAAGGAAAAACTAAAAGTTTGTCAGGCCTCTTAATCGCGTTGACAAATAGTTAAATTAAATCTTGAACGATAAAAATTACGTGTCTGACCATTACTCGCTGTTTCTACTTATTTTGTCATTTACGAATACTGACTTTCGTACGGTGTTGCCTGTATCGAATGATTTTAACTAGTTAGAGGATGGTAACAGAATGAGAAACGAATGCTTATACGAACGAAATTTAATAAATAAAATGACGAGGAACATGTAACTCGAACGTTACGTCTCGAATGCAGCGTAGTCGTCGAAAGAGCAAAATGCCAGGCATAATTGGCTTGTTACCGGTTTGTCAGACGTTCTAACCGCATAATTCGTTTTCTACGGGCTTCACCGTTAATTGCAGAGCATTTCTGAACGACTACATAATCGAATTTCACCGCTCTTAATTGCGATGCGATTACACGTGTTAGCTATTCGCGTGCATATTGAATTTTGTCACTTGAGCGCTGCCGATCTCGCGTTTCCCACATCGATCGAATCGTTGAACTATACCTTGGCGATAACCTTGCCGTAAATTTAATTTTTTCCACGCTTATTCAAGAGAATTCTTCTGCAACCATCTTGTCGTTTCTTTAATTTAATTAATTGTATCGCTGCTGAATAAAATTAGAGACTCGGATAGAAATTAGAACTATGTTAATTTTCGTGCGGGACGATGGGAAGTTCTTTTACGCCAAAGAGAACCAAGAAACTTTCGCGTATTTAAAATTTCTAAACAGTCGACGTCGCGAGACTCCTCAGACTCGGTTTAAAGAATGGTGAATCTTTTAAGATCGAAAGAAGTTTTCGATTTCAAGCGTCCTTTTGTGCTGGGTAGTTTTTCGCGAATAACGCTTGGAAGTTGAATTGCTTCGAGAAGAGCCGTTCGACGTTTCCCGTGATTTCTTGCCATTTTAATGACGTGTCCTTCCCGACAATTCCTCGCATAGCGTTGTACAAAACTTTCAGCGCCTTTCTGAAAGCAATTCAATTTCGAGTCGTAGCTAGGTAGGAAGCGGGTACAAAGGAAAGTGATCAAGCGACGCTGCCCTCCGCCATTGACGGTCATAAATGTCTAGAACGTTCGACTTTTTAATTATAGAAATAATAACTGCTCTCGAAAGCTACCGTGTGTGTGTGTGTGTTTTTAAATAGATTCGTTAATCTTATTAAATATTTTATACACGGCATTTAGATAAATTGGGCGTGTATGTATTATGGTATAAGTGCAATGGCGAACGAAAGTTCGTTCAAGCTGCACGCTTCTTCAATATTAAATCTCGCGAAAGCAACGGGCGGTCCGCGTTATTTGGCGAGCAAAGAATCCACGTTCCCGTGCAGGGGAGCAAAGTGATTTAAGTTAAAATGGTCCAGCCAGCTGCTTGACGACCGTCTACAATGGACTCGGATTAATTTAATCATGGATTAGCCCTATTGAGCGCGTTCCATTGCTACGTAACCCTCTTTCATTCCCGAAAAGCGTTCTCGACTATTTTCCGCGGAACGCCCGGGGATGCTTTGTTCTTCTTTGCGATGTTTCTTTTAACACACGTCCCGGAGAAACGAAATTATAATTCGACGACGAAGGGACGGACAAAGGCGGGTCGTCGGGAATGGGATTCGAAGAAACAGCGTGTCGCTAGACTGCTACAAAGCGATCGAAGTTTCGCGAATTCGAATCGCGAGGATATCGGAAGGTGGAACGAGGGAATTTTTTTCTAAATTCCACTGCAAATTAACCAAAATCCTGTGCCACCATATTTCCTTATCCAGTATTCGCGTCGGGGGACAATTCTCCCAGGCTACCGCGACGATCTCGCGAACGAACAACTTGACAAAACACTCGGGAGAAAGCAGTAGGTAAATCCTGGTGTCTCGAATTCCCAAGAAACCAGAACTGCGAACTGTGCTTATCTTCCGCGCGCGAACAATCGCTCGAAACGCGAGGCTCGTTTTCCTCGAGTTTTTCTTCCTTAAGAACACGCCCTTAAGAAAATAGACCCTCCGGCCCTTTTCGATTCTCCTTCTACCGTGGCCGTTTAAAAATTGTTTTTCCCGCGCAAACTGACCGAAACGAGAATTGATTCGCTTCGCGGGACAGCCTTTTCGAAACGCATCGCGATAGCGGCAGGGAGTTTAATCGCGATACTTGCGCCGCGTTTATCTCCCTCGACGGTCCATTAAACCCGACTAAGCGAGGATAATATCGTTTCATAACAGATGAGCCGCGAACCGTGTGTGTCAGCGATTTTCACGGAATTTCGAATTTACCGCACATACCTGCTTTTCCTTTCTTCCTTTCTGCGGCGCTTCCTCCCCCGGCAACCGTGATTATGTCGCTGAATTTGCAACGGTTATCTCTGCCTTCTCATTTCGACATTTTTAAGAAACCGATCGTGGCGGCGATTTCTGCGATTTACCCGGATTTATTGTCAGAAATTCTGGCTTCAACACAATGGCAATTAAAGTCTTCCAAACAAACTTCGATTTTTACTTCGCGGAGCAATCAGGTCTAATCCCAAGTCTCGAAACCCCCGGATCGTTCGCTCGCCGAGCACAGTGGAAACTCGATAAACGGGAACTCAATGATTGCGTGAGAACCTCCTTCATTATGTTGGCAAGTGAAACTTCCCGTCACTTGGCAACGAGGGAAGTTCGACTTGAAAATAACAAGCACTAAAATATGCTACGTAACCGAAGTATCTTCTTGTGGAATTGCTACGAGCACCGAAATTGTAGGAAGCACAAAACAGTTTAATCGCAAGTTCGAAGGGCTCTCCGAACATTTTATTACCGTCGCGATATAGATTTGTTCGTCGACGTATTTGGATAAATACGTAATAATTGACGCAGAAACGTAAATAGAAATGCCTTTACGGGAAAGTAAAAGTGTCTACAGTTTGAAAATAAAAGCAGAAGCAGCGGTTCTGAACAATATTCACCCGCGCGCGGAAACTGCATGGAAACTCGACTCTTTTTCACGGGCCCTCGGCCCGTTGGAACGACGAAATTTCGTCGCGCGCGTTTTCCTTCCGAGCCGCGGGAATAGGCGAGAAGATTCTCTCTTAAATTTTCAGATTTTACGGCTCGCGGGTCGAAGCCCGCTCGTAAAACATTCGCGCCACGGCGAGAAACACGAACGTGGCGGCGCGCGAGAAAGAAACCGGGGGCGTACGGGGACGGGGGACCGCGGGTGGATCTTTCAATCTAGGGACGGTGCACCGCGTTCGTCGAAGAAAGAGCAGGAAGTCAGTTTGCCGAGCAGCAGGCCCGGGTCTGCTTTAAAATTCAAATTCACAACTTTTGCTTAAACGTCTCTTAGATAGCTGAGATAGCTGCGCTGGCTGGTCCCTTCAGAACGCTCCCCGCCCGCCTTTCCTCCCCTGATATAGTCTCTGCCCGACGAAACTGTTCGCTTTCCCGCCCCGGGGCTGAATCTCGTGCAACGCGCATAAAAACGGTCCCCGAGTCTACCCCGGTCGGTAAAGATCGAGAAGAGA